ATCAATAAACATGATTATAATTTTGATAACATCTGTTAATACGATCATTTTTAGATTTATCCTAGAATTACACTTTTCTATATATTCTTATTTGTTGCATAATATGAAAACTTGTTTCATTTCATTCTCTTTGTAACTGAAATATGATCTGATTTGAAAACACATTGAAGTTAGACATGTAACACACTATCTATAGATGCAAGTAATTAGCTAATTAATTGATCCACAGTTAAATAGTTTAACATGAATAGTCAAAGATTAAATCAGTAATCAAATCAGACTCTGATCATCGTTACTTTTAACATCAATCATAAAATATCTATAAATAATGGTTTGTTGTGTACATGAATTTCACTAATTGATCTCATGAAGGTCAATTAGGTTTTAAAGCACTTATTTTTCTTTGGATAGAATATACTAATAAACCAATTTAACAGTTGAACAATATCAGCGTTAACTGGATCAGTCTGATCAACAAACCATGAACAAAACAAATTTGCCAAATATTCTAACTTCAGAGGTCACTAGCTATGGGATTCGTTAAGGCCTGAGAGTTGCTGATCCATATTACGTACTATGTTGCCGATTGGAGAAGTGACAAATTCATGAATTTACACATTGTCTACTGAACAACAACTAAAGCCTTAACGTTTATTGATCCTTGAGCCTCCTTAGCAAGTTAATTTTATGTTTGACCATAGCAGGAGGAAGAATAATTTACAACAGATAATAAGAATAATCATAAGTGTAAAAGAATGGAATGCTATCGGAATAGATAACAAGCTTATGATAAGACTATACTACGATACTGAGCGATCAGTTAAAATTAAGCTTACTGATATGCAAATTTAAAACACTGTTGTTTATAGCTTGTCGCAGCAACTCATGATTTCCAGGATATTTTGTATTTTGAAAGGATTGGATGATCGTTTTGTTGTCAAATGAACTAATAATATCAGTATGTCTAAGTTATGGTTAAGAGGTGTAGGCTTTAAAAGATGTAGACTTAAGAATTTGGGTCTATCCTGAGTGAAGCACTATGATATCCCACCTGGATGATCAATATTTACCACCAATAACTTCATCAATAGTTTTAAACCTCCTAATCTGTATTTCTATCATTTTTCTATATTTTAGACTTCTCATACAACAGCTGTATCCTGATTGTCTGTTTTGGTTGGTTAATCTCGAGGTCACCCATATATTCGCTTAGGATCGTACACCATGGTATTACTTGGTCTGACAAGCAATCATGTGTTAATTTTTTTATTTTAACTTAATTATCAGGTACAGATTTATGCACTTGAATTGAAGCTACATTCTAAATGTGTGTTAATGATACTAAACAGTAGACCAAACAGAAATTGGAGAAGAGTTTGCAAATGTCAATTATCAGATAGAAGTCAAACCTTATAACCACTGAGTCGCTTCTCTACAGTGTTAACGTAATAAATAAGGTTGGGTAAATAAATTTTATTTAACAAACGTATACTTGTCGTTTTCCTAACAAACTGACTATGTATGAACTACTACTGATTACTCAAGTGCACGAGACAGCTGCTTCTTTCAAGTGTTGAACTCATCAGTAGTATACATTCACAAGCCTATTGAGAATTAAACCTAAGATATTCAAGTCACACAACCACGGTTTGATCTTTAAACCACTATTTGTGATTGAAGAGTAATCGATTTCCACAAATACGCCGTACTACTAATAATATACTTTTTTTCTCCCGAATTTACTATTAAAATAAAGGAAGAAGGATTTTACATTTTAAATTGTATTCATAGGAAAATATGTTGCTTCCAGTTTTTTCTTCGTTGAAAAAAAAACTTGACAAAATCATGGAATAGTGACAATTTAGTAGTAAAAAAATTATTTTCTGTGACTTTCTTCAACGGACTCCTTTTCAAAAGTGTTAAAAAACATTCATTTTATTGGTACATAAAAATAAATATTGTAAAGAGTGTAAAACTGTGTTATAAATCTATGCCTTTACCGAGAAAGTTACGAAAGAAGTCATTTTTTAATGTTTACTTCATTATTATAATCAAAATGCTTATCCATGGCATAAGCGAGATTGGATATTGAACAAAAGCGGTAAATTTTAAAGGAACCATAAATCTACTAACCATATAATGATTAGAAATAAAGAATATTCATTATCAATTATGGAGATAAAAGTTTCCTTAGGATATGAATGTATGAATGAGAAAGAGAGACAGACCAATATGGATTAACCACTGTGTAATGATCAGTATCATGTCTAGTCCGTAAAGCTGATATATATTAATTGGTTGAGGTAGTGAACAGTAAACACAACATACTTGCAATGCTGAGGGTGCTGAAGCCTACTCAGTTTGAACAGAGAACATCAGCTCCCTCGAGATTATGAGTTATGATGTGACAGAGTCCCTAGTAGTAGGACATCTAGGCTTGAAACGTCCTGTCGGCTACTCCCTATCACGTAACATCAAGAACAAGATAATAGATTAACGAACGAACAATTATTATGCACTTATTGTTGTAATCGCCAATCACTGTATTAAAACACTATTACCCTAAAATGTAATGGCATTTATTTATGTAGTTTTGTACTATGAACAATTACTTAAAATTACGTTGATAAATGCCAGAGTACGGAGAGAGAGAGAGAGCTGCACTTATCTGTACTTTCTATGAAAAGAAATAAACTTTATTCAGAGAAAGGAAATAAAAATTAATTGGGATTGATTATACACTCTTCTAAAAATAGGAAAAATAATAATAACTGATAATTGACCTGTGCTTACTTCAAAATTATAATATAGACCAAGTGCGATTGCCATCAAAATATGAATAAGTATCTAATGAGTTAATTTTCAATTAACTTAAAAGTCCTTTTGAAGAGAATTTGTGGAGTTTTGAACTCTCAGGACTACACTACGGAAAATTATTGCCTACATTTTTATTGTATAATAATTAAACACTTAGATTATTGTAAGTTTTTTTATTCACTTATTTCTGAACTGTCTTTAATCAGTTTACTCACTTCTCGCTTCTTAAGTCATTAATGACTGAGTAGGGTATATATAGTAATTTTTGAATTTGTGTTGTTTTGAGGTCAGATATTATTGAAGTAATATTATTGTACCAGTTCTCAATCATACAGAGTACAAGAGAGAATTAATCTGTTTTATTTTTTAATGATTGTTGTTGGATTAAACACCGAGTTCGAAGTAGCATGAAAACAGTTAGGCATTTAAAGTCTCAAGGATCGCTCACTCATCTCTATGTCATCTGGTAAATAGAATGTTATCAATCCTATAGGTGGTATGGGCGAAATAATCAGTAATCGGATTAAGGAACACAACTACTTCCATAATAAAATGCTCGCACATGGGCCTCAGAACAATAAAAGAACCTATTCTTGTTGTTTTTATAACAAGAAGTAATTTTGCTATCATGGATGGAAGAGTGCTATCATTCGCCAATATTTAACGCGAAAATCAGTTAGGAGAACAAACACTCATAACATAAAATGCTTTCTGATAAATATTCCTTTTTTATATTCAGTGATTTAATCCATATTATTTGTTCTTCATTGTCTTAGTATTTTCTAACGTTCTAATTGTTTTGTCTGATGTATATTTACGACATATAAATCATCTTAACTAGTTAGTTAGTCGGTCAGCTGAAACATAAAACTTAGTACGTACGTACATCAGTTAAAGTTGCCATAGACCATTAGCACAGAGAGATGGAATTGCCAGTTCAAATCCCATAGTAGAAGAGGTTGTACTGGTATTGGCAATAATGGAAAAGATTAGAGATCAAAGATATGATTCGAGAACTATAACCAAGTGAAATAAATTTAAAAAGGAAAGATAAAGGTCATGAGTAATTCCGAAGATTTTAATCTGGGAGAAGTCAAAGAATGGATGTATATGCATCATTACAAAGGGTTTTGAGCATTATTATTCAAAGTCTCTAACCACCGGTTACGACTGACTCCTAGACCACAACCAGAGAGTCTAGACTCACTAATACGGCTCAGTCCAAATTGTCAGTGACTTCATAGACTGGTACCATATTTGGTTTGGCCGCTCCCAGCTTTCTTCCAGTTTACCTGGGTAGAGCACAAGGCGATTTTAGGGGTTGCTATGTCAAAAAATGTTTTTTTCCTATGCTAAAAGGCAGTTATCTGAGCGCAGCTGCAGCAGACTGTTTGATGAGCCGAGACACTATATGATCCACCAAGGTGTCTTCCGGTTTCGCCTAGTCTATGCACTTGATCATCAAAGTTACCAAACCCTACTACTACTTCAGAGCCCTTAGCTTTTTGAAGATTGGAAAATTTCCTTGCAACTTTTTTATAGGTTTGGCATTCACTGTAAGACTTGACGAGCTTGGGTTAGATTCCTTACAGGATTTTGGATGAGCACCATTGAAGAGTCCTATGTTGGGGCAAAACAGCTATCCTGTGCTCCTTAGTTTTCAATGCTCCTCCAACTAAGATCAATCCTTCTTGTAAACTATTAAACTTAACAATCTATATGAATCTCCCTATAGTAAATCGCTTTTGGTCAACATAAAAAACAGTTTCAGATTATTTTATTATTCTTACATAACACCTATAATATTTGTTTTTAAACAATAAAACTAACAATCAATTTTAATGATGACATTTCTAAACAAAAAACAACTTTTGTTTACATCAACAGTTGACTTGAGGATGTGGAAAATGAACTGAAACAGACTAAAAACAAGTTACACTGACAATGAAAACAATTATAACAGCGATGAAATAATAATTATTATCATAATAAATCAAATAATCAATATTACTGGGAGAATTTGCACGATTTAGAACAACTGATCGGAATTGATTTCGTTGTTATTTATTTTACTTTTCTCTGATCAATTAAGACTGAGGAGAATAAGAGAATAATACTGTACACAGATGGATCTTTCCTCCATATATATACATAATATGTTTAATAAAAATCAAACCATCTACTTACCAGCACTGCCAAGTAATGATCCAGTACAGCTAAATACACTATGATCATATATTTCACGTTTACACATTGTTAACAATAGAAAAATGAATGATATACACAATAAACAACATCCAATCATACTCATTAATCCAGCTAACCATATCAATTCATTTGCAATAGCTGGTTTTGCTCCAAATCCCCACATAGATAATTGACATTTAAATAAGGTATCATCAAAAAGTTGCCAGTGTAACATATTTTCATTTTCATTATTATTGGAATATGATAATTTACTACAGATACTTTGACATCGAAACCATGGTCCAATTGATGGTGGTATTATCAATTGTATTAATTCATTGTCTGATTTATTGGAATTTACAGTAGATAAATCTATATCAATATTATTATTATTATTCACAGTATCATACAGATGATGATGTGGACATGCTGTTAAACGACGTGTCTCTGGTGTTTCAATACGAACTAACCAATATGGACTAAGAAAACTTGCAATTGTGATTAGAATAGATAAAAAAGCGCATATAATCCATATTAAAAGTATCCAACTTAATATTATTCTTGGCATAATGTTTTAACTAGCCTCTAGCTTCATCTTTATCGTGATAACGATGATGATAATAGTAATAATAAAAATACTGACAACAGTGATCCATCACCACATTGAATATGAAATAATAAAACGATGTTATTGTGACAACCGGTTATTATTATTCTGTTTTCCACGATGTGACTAACTTTTTCTTACTAACCAATAATATTCCAAATAAAACAGTTCATTTTAACCAATCAAAATTTGGGAAAAATAAACCAATTAAAAGAAATAGAGAGCTGTTTCCAATTTCCCATAACATGATTGTTATTTTGAATTCTGCTAAATCTAATGAGAAAGTTATTGTTCTAATTGGATAGATCATATTGACAATGTTGACTAAATACTTCCTTTTTCTGCATTAGTCATAATGATGATGAGGTTTATGTTATACCAAGATAATGAATAGTTTCCCTCTTTGAATACACACCATCGTTATTCAAATAAACAAGTAAACAGCTTGATCAGAACTAATTATACCAATTTTTACCGATGGGTTGAACGAGACTGATAGAAGGGATTTTTACATAATCCTAAGTTTAAATTCTATAATATTGAAATCAATCTTTGTGATTCATTTCATGATTTTTTATCATGTAAATATTTTGTGAACGCGTACCACTAAGAACGCACACTTCAAACTAAATTAGCTTTTCAGTGTTATTGTAGTACTTCTTGTCTCATCAGTAAAGGGAAATGATTTAATGTTGTAAGACTGTTAAACTCTACACCTGTGACAATTCCATCAGTTAACCACATTGAAGGTGCATTGGCAGTATAAGCAGCATCTTTAGTTTGTATTCTTTAAAGTGAGAGCTATTCCATGGAACTTAGTTCACTATCTCGTCAACAGCCAATGAGCTTCTTGTTGTAAAGTACATGAAATTTGATTAGCAGTGGACTCTACACAGGATTTTTCTTCCTGTTTCAGACTCATCAGCTGAGTGTACTTGCATCTCAATGCTGATGTCCAGACCAGGACTCGAACCTCATGCCTTTAACTTCAAATGCTCAATGCTTTATTCGCTTAGCAACCGAATCCAAGTAACCACTCATTTGTTCAAAGGATATGAGTTTTACATTAACATAGGAAGATCAAAGTAAATGGATGAAAAAGTGAGACAAATGCAAATAAAGACAACAATATCGACGGTAGTAGAAAATTAACTGTAGGTAACGTATTCATCATCAATGAAAATATGAGTTGTTAGTATTAAAAACAAATGAATTTCGACCGGCAATGAATTTCACGAGGTGCGTTTCATCCGGCTCAGGACTCATCATTTGGATGTATGTGATTCCTAATATTGATGTTCAGACTGAAAGTCAAACCCAATAATAAAGATATAGACGCCATATCCATAAAAATCGTCGATAGCTATCTGGATTTAGTAGACTAGTTGATAATATGGTGACTGTTCGAAGAGAGATATACTAGATTCGAGTCTTAGTGTTGAGGTCAAGTCGAGGATGCAAGTAAACCAGACTAACAAGCCCCGAATGGGGCGAAATGTGCGTCCGAATTCCACTGCTGAACACAACACTTTTCATAAGGATCAAAAGTGTTTGATTAATTCAAAATTGGAGATTTGAGCTAAGATAAAAAGTGAATTTTCTCGACCTCGATAGATTTTATGCGATGTCACCCAAAAAGCTTCAAATCACAGACAGTACAATAAACCGACAAATTCTAACCAGGAATTGTACAATTATAATATTATTCAGTCAAAAAATTATTCATTTTTTATATGATACCGTACATTTTTGTTTAGGCACCGTTAAACATTTCCCTATTTACTTTTATGCTAACTTCAATAGCATACTAGAGTAGGTGATGTCTGGCGATCAGTGACACAATATCTATTTTTAATACATTTTTTTATTGTTCATGCGATCAAATGTCACCCCAAATGCTCATTTATATCATTAAATTTATTTAGATAATAAATAAATGTCATAATCCCATTATGTCATTTCAAGTTAATAATCGGTCATTTACGTAATACCGTCTTTTTTTGTTTATAACAAAACTATGCGACTTCTATTCTAAGCAAATTTCAATCAATCTGAAGAGATGTCTAGTGACCTTTGTGAACTTTTTGTTTTAATCAAATCTTAATAAATCTCTTTTCACATGTATATTTCTGTACTCGTTATTTCATCTAAACAATGTTCACATTTAGTCAGATTGCGGATTATCAGAGTCGCCATGATCTACTTGAATTAATTTTCAATGATGAACAGTGTGAACGTCTGTATTGACTTTTTTTCAATTATCCTCTAAAAAATAGATGAACACAACACACACAGTTTTCTTACAAACTGGATATTTCTCACAGTTTACTATGTTTTTTGATTGAAACTAAACACATTACTTTTGATTTGTACTCAGATGAAACGTTGCCTTGTACAACATAAAATAGACAAAATTAATCACTCACCTTTTCCAAACTTAACTTACAGACCTACATGTCTAGTATATTCATTTTCGATAGAACAGTGAGAAGACGTATTTGCGCTAGACATTTCGAACAATCTGGTCACACACATACTTGTCAAGGCATTTTATATGATTAATAATAGGTCAATTAAATAAAAGTTCTAATAGATGTAAGGTGATAATTGTAAATGAAGGAGAGAGAAAATTAACGTAATATAGAAAGGATAAGAAAGGGTAGGAATATGTATGTGTGACCAGATTGTTCGAAATGGATAGCGCAAATACATCACACTTTTCAGATCAATTACGTCTTCTCACTGTTCTATCAAAATTTATAAAAGGGACAAATTGTTTTAAATATTCATCATTCGCTATAAGCAACACTAGTTAGTAGATAATCAATCGCAGTGCAATCATTATGAGTCACTGGTTTTTACCATGTAGAGTGATCCATCAAATGATTAGATATATACTGCTCTTGTCGTCCCAGTTATTTATATCATACTTGAATACATATAGGTATTTTATAATAATAATGGTAATAATAATAATAATAACGGCTATATTCAATCTTATATGTTTAGTATAATATGGAATTCTCAGCACAGAGTATTTCGACTAGTTTTCTTTATGAAACCAACAAAAGTAATGATCACCAATTGTATATACATATATGTATATCCATTTTGAAAAGTTATGTCAACAAAATCCCTAGAATTTAATTGAAATGTCTCTTTTATGAGATGAGAATCTATTCCATTTTATTAATTGGGTGCTTGTTATAGGAATATAAATTTCTGACTAGGTCAGCTCTTATCACTTGGTTTGTCGCATTGTATATTTGTTAAATAAGGTATCAAAGTACTTTTATAATTTTGCTGTTCAATATATGTTAATAAGTAATTAAATTTTTCTGATAATAAAATCTACCTCTTTTTTTACAATCTTTGGTTGTAATGCTATTTCGTAGTTATGCTTGATTTCCACTTAAATAATTAATAATATCGATAATTAGAATTTTTTTAAGATCACTACTACGGCATAACCTAGATTTTGTTCTAGTTGTTACGCATCAATGAAGCGTACTAGTAATCTTTGGAGAATTAATATTTTCTATGCAATATGAATCCACATTATCTAACTTCATTCATCTGGGTCTTTATTGACTTCATATGTACAATTGATTAATCGCTAACTGGTTATTAATTCCATGTTTGTCTGGTAAACTTTATGCAATAAGAATTTCATTCATTCATTCAAAATATGGTCGAAATGAGTTTTTTTATTTAAAGTTATCCAGTGAACTTTCAGATTTACATTTTCTTTGTAATCTATTGATTAAGCCACATAATACCGGTCTATTTCACTCTTAATTATCAATAGGAAGATTTAAAGTACCGATTTAATTGAATTGTTCTTTTATTGTAAAGTTGCGATTGACTCAGTGAGATCCCAGACGAAACTGTCCTGGGCTCTCATTTTCAGTCCCTCCTAACTGGTATTTGTTCTTTTGATATCTGCCTCCATTTTCCAGCACAATGTGCTCTTTAGTTTGTATCATTTCATTTTATCTTCATCATTCCAAGTTAAGAATGCTTTGTGATGCAGTTTAATGTCTTCAGTTAGATGTGACGTATGCAACTCTACTATCCTTTCCTAATTTCTTCTTCAATTGAAAGTTGATTTGTTCTCGGCCACAGTAGGCGTCTGGTAAATGGATCAGTCCTAACAGAATCCATCCATTTGAAGTCCTACTGAATCCTTCGTTTGTTTCACCCACATTCTGAATCTTTTTTGAACAAACTAGTGATATGTAACTATGATTAGGATTTGCCTTTAATTGTTGATTTTATTATTGTCTTATGCCAGACCGTCGAATTAAGGCCTTCTTTTACTAAACTCAAATTTTTGGTGTGGATTAATTACTTACCATTTCTCTCTGGTTATCTACTGAAAATGTTTATTGCATAAAATGAATCTAATAGACAGAATTTTGATCGCATTTTGTTGGGGGAAATTCATGTTGATTCTGAGTATTTAATTTTATATTAAAAAAACCTTTGAGTGTATGGTGGCCGGGTGACATTATTGAATAATACAGAAACTTACACATTAACTTGTGTTTTGATATCGTTGATGTATATCTGTCGACTATATTTGACCCTATCCAGACGAAAACAATGATTTGGCTAAGTCATAGGCGATCTCAATTTTGTCTAACTTTTTCTCTGTGTTAATAATGATTTCGCTCGTTACAGTTAACATATAACGCAAGTCTATCTCATCCAGACTAATATTTTGGGTTTGCTTTTATTGCTTTGTGTGTCCAGAGTTTTTTCGTTTGTAAAGTCATGTTCTCTTTATCTCCCTATTATCTGATTTATCGACTTTTATTTGTGTTGAGTAATAAAGATATCTCTATCAGAGTTATTGTGAAATATAGAAGTATTTAAATTCATTACTAAACGATATAAATAAACCAAATATCTTTTTAAAGCTGTTTAGCGATCTTTTACTGAAGTGGTCCCGAAAAGATCAAAACTACCAGAAAGCAGCATTGATTGTTGTCATCTGATTTGAGCTAAATAAATCGATGACTTGTTTTCCAAGGGGGAATTTATACTCATAAATCAGTGATGACTGGTATAACTAGGACGTTAGTTAAATTATTGTGGTTAACAG